AAAGCAAGTTTTCTTACTGCTGGTAAGTGAAATGTGCTATTAAACTAACTCAGTAGAATATCTGGAAATAAGATAACCAGATTGAAAATAATGTGGCAAATTTAATTGATAACAGAGTAAGAAGTGAAGTGAAAATTTGGAACACCAAGATGCATAGCAAAATAAAAACCATGTACTTTATTTCCTCAGCCCCTTTCAGAAGTAAAAGATTCCCGTCAGCCCAACACATAAAAACATGATCTTACCAAGATATGACCACAGATCAGTTTGGTACCCACTGTGCCAACATTTCAAGTGTCCCTTCCCTCTGGATGTGCTAGATAATATGCTGCTGCCTAAACTCCCTTCTCAAACAGCACTCCAGCTGCCAGCTCTCCTTGACCTAGACACTGGCTGGAGGCACCTGTCCTGGTATCGTCACGGCATCTCAGGAGAGACTTCCCTTCTCTCTTGATGGAAACCCTACATCAGAGGAGTCATGGCCAGCTGGTTGCCAGTCCAGCAAAGGATTGGCAGCTAAATGCTGAGAACTGCTCTCCAGTGCTGTCACTCCAGCAGCAGCTGTGAAAGATGTCCTGCTCTGTGAACCCAGAGCACAGCTTGAGCTCAGGGTCTGCTAGCCTGACCTCCACAAGCTCACCCTGTCAGCAAATCAAAAAAAAAAAAAAAAAAAAGGCCAGCAGGGACTTCCACAATCCAGAGTCTAGGCCAGCCTCTTTCTACCACACATGAGCAAAACTGAGTAAGAGGCAATCAACATGCAGAATTTTATGTGTCTTATCTGTTTTCCCCAACAAAAATGTAGGCCTACACAAGCTTCGGACATGGAGTGGATTCTAATGTAGGACGACGACTATAAAATAAACTGAGCTATGAGATACATGATCTAAACTCTAACTCCAAGCTGGAGTACATGGCCCCCAGCAGTAGGGCACTATCTGACAGACCAGTTTGCCTGATGTATTGGTAATTTCAATTTTGTAGGAGCAATAGGAGCACTGCAAGGCTAATGGAGATACAATGTTTTCACTACTATTCACGATATTCAGAGCTAATTTAGCTTCTGTTCTCATAATAATGCTGGCCTTTTGTCTGTATTAGATGGTAATGCTGTGCTTGTGAAACTATGAAAATGGGATATTTTTTTAAAATACCCTGTTGGCACCCAATACTGATCTCATGAAACATGTGCTCAAAGATTTAATAACTTCACAGCTGAGAAAGAAAACATGGTATGTACATTTACTATGAGTTACTGAAGTCCTAATCACTCAAAGAAATGACCAAGCCAGTTGGCTTATTTCATAAAAAATATATTTCTCTTGACAAAATGTGTATCATTCATGCAGTGTAAACTGTGTATTTATTACCTGTGAGGACACTCTGAATAAGATCTTCTGTCTTTGCAGGTGCTTTCACTGAACCTAGAGGTAAAAGAGATGACTGATTCCAATTCTTTTAAAGCAACAGCCATTGTTATGCTGCTTGATTGTGTATTAAAACATGGGAGGTGACACAGGACATATGCGCACACGGGCTTTTACTAATCTTTTGAGAAAACACATCTCTTGAGCAGAAGCAACATGGAAAACAATGCCAATTCTGTGAACCAACATGAAAAAAACCCACCCGAGCTTTGTTATTTTACTTATGAGGAGGATGTTACTGAACTCACTCCTACCACTCATATGGGTCACCTAAGTGGTACTGGGCTGATGGTTAGTACAAGTGCCTTGTATTATGATGTCCAGCTCCTTGGAAGTCATTTAGATCAAGCCTATGAAGATGGCAATCATAAAATTATAAACACTGTGGTTTAACAAGCATCTGTTACAGGAGATATATCCATACAAAATATGTAAGTATCCATGACTGTATTTTGTGTGTGGAGTATGATATAACTACATATATAAAATTAGGCATATTTGTAAAAAAGAATTACACAATTTTGCAGGAACAAAAAAACCTGAGCAAATTCTCTTGCTTGTAATGAACTTCAGTTCACAGAATCACAGAATCACAGAATCGCTCGGTTGGAAAAGACCTCTGAGATCATCACGTCCAACCGTTCCTGTCTACCCCCTAAACCATATCCTTAAGTTCCTCATCTACCCGCTCCTTAAACACAACCAGGGATGGTGACCCCACCACCTCCCTGGGCAGCCTGTTCCAGTCTCTGACAACCCTCTCAGTAAAGAACTTCCTCCTTATCTCTAACCTGAACCTCCCTTGGCACAGCTTGGTGCCATTTCCCCTTGTTCTATCTAGCACAAAAGCAACTCTTAAATAGAAGATATTTGTATATTTGAAGATGTCTGGCTCTAATAGCATAATAAAACAATGATAAAATTTCTACCTAATTTATAGAAACAAACCAATCAACCAACCAACCAAGCACAAAACCCGCCTTTGTGAATGAAAAATTATTATCCTGATTTATTGTGAAAAGATGGGACTTCTTTTGTTTTCCTTTGGTTTTTTTGGTGGTTTTTTTTTACCTGGTGCTGGTTGGCTATGGACAACCTGAGTTGCTGGTTTCGGTGTAAGAGAGGCAGTGCAATTTACTCCATTTTCTGCTGGTGTTGGCCTAGGTTCATTGTTAGCTTCAGATGGTGCATCTCCATGGTCAATCTGAAAATACAAAATAATTTACAGTACTCTTCCCAACTAACAGAACTAAGATTATTTATTTGCAAGTCTAGTTTAGCCTCTTTTAAAATGTGAAATCACGTAAATTTTATATATAAATCATTCTGAAAGAACAGAAGAAAAAGATATCTTTAAGAGCCATGGTAATCCAGGCAGTTCAATTCTGCAGGGTAAATTTCAAGAAATAGCATATGTATTATTCCAAAAAAGTAATTTTATTTTCAGTGGATATAACTCATCAGGGACATTTTTCAGTACAGTATATATTAGCTGCACCAAATGTACAATCTGTATTTTATTGAAAAGCATTGTTCTCTGCCATAAAACCTTTTTAGAAATAATGTAGAAGGTGGCATGAAAACGCTACTCAAATCCCTACTGTGAACAAAATATGTACAACAAAATTACTTTTAAATTTCACAGATACACAGCACTATCATTATTCACTGTTCTTACAGAACAGAGACATACTTCTGATTCCCAAGATCTTACATTCTTGTAATTACACTCCAAGGATAATACGTAAACAGTACCTCCATCCTGCTGCATAAATACATCTGTGGTATCCAAATATTTAAGCATTTCCCACAATCTTTTCTTTCTCTCCAGTTTCCTAAAGGCTCAGGCTTACGGCTTACATTGTACTATGCACTGAATATCTTGTAATTTTCCTTGTGACCATCAGGTTTTAAGCAAGCCCCCAGCACTCAGCAAACAGAAGGTCATTCAAAGCAATTTTTATTTTGAAATGGTCAAGCCCCGCTTCCTGCTGTCCCTGTGAGGGGCCAGTTGCCATGGTGTCTCAGGGTGAGTTTGGATTTGTTCCTTCAGCTGCTTCCATTTTATTCTTTGATGTAATCACATTACACACAGAGGCAGGATGCCACAGTTGTATTTTACCCCTTTGATTTACTCCACGTTTGCAAACTATCAGCCTGCAGTGCATCAATAAAGGCAATATACATTTTGAGCTGTTTTGTGCTGCTCCTGCTGCTGATTTCCATCATTTCAGCCCTGACAACATACTGTATATTGCAGAAGGATTTCTGTCTCAACAGCCTATCTCTACCAAAATTTTAGGAGAGAGATACTGCAATCAGAAATATGATACAATTGAAAAGCAATGCCAGCAACTTCATTTATATCAAGCAAGAATGACTGGAACAAAAAGACAAACATGATCTAGCCAACATTTATGACAGTAGAACAATGTGACAGGCAAAAGCTGTAGCTGTAACAGATACAGAGACATGGCTATCCCCTCAATTCTCCTTAGAATGCTCTCCTTGGAGCATGCAATTCATTAGCTTAATAAAAACAGCGTTTGCTATATAGATGATCAACATTTAATACAAAAACCACTAGAATTCCTAACTTCTGGCAAGTTTGTGCCCCAAAAGTCACTACATGGTGTGTATTGTCTTCTTTTTGGGGAAACAGGTTTGTAGGTGGTGTGAAATGCTGCATCACAGCTTGCTGAGAGACTATTAATATCACAGAATCACAGAACGTTAGGGATTGGAAGGGACCTCAAAAGATCATCCAGTCCAATCCCCCTGCCGGAGCAGGAACACCTAGATGAGGTTACACAGGAAGGCGTCCAGGTGGGTTTTGAATATAGCCTGTCAGCTTTGGACATAAAACATTTGTGTTCAGAAACTAAAGCAGGAGTGTGAAACGGGATAAGGAAGTGAATAAAGAGTCATTTTCACTACATCAAGCAATTTAATCTCATTAAAAAGTACTTTCTCTTCTCATAATTCATCACACAGAATGCTAAAATAAACATGATTTTTCCTTAGTGGAGAATATTTTAGGCTCTTTTAAAAACATGATGTAATCCAGCTTTAGAATTTATAGTTTTAATATTCATAGAAAAATGGTTTCTATTCCACGTATTGCCATGTCTTTTTCAAGACAGCATAGTTACTAAGTAGAAAGATACATATGCATACAGGCACGTATCTATATGCTCTATTTTTATTTCTGCAGAGAAAAGAGGCTGCTATATTCTGGGGTTGGGAGATCTCCTCCGTGCTGCACTGTTAGACTATGTGGGGCCTCTGTCCTTCTTGGCAAAGTATAAGCAAGGTCTCCCTACAAGGAGTGTCAGATCAACTTAATTCCCAGTACTGTAACTTGGTGTGATCATTATGATTTGCAAATTATGCCTGAATTTTCTTTTTAAATAGTGATATCAGATCTGCTAAGTGCAGCTGCTCTCCTAGAGATGCTTTTGTTTACTTTCTTCATAAAAATAATTTCATTTAACCAAAGAAGCAAAACAACAGTTTCCATTTCAACACTGTTTTATGGGTAGGAACAACAGGTCAGCTGCTCTGCTGCTTCCATGTCAGCCACATTACTGAGCCAGCAAGGCCTCCTGACTCCCTGACACTGCAGTGGGAATTAACATGCAGCCCCAGGGACAGCACACCAGCAGGCATAGCCAAAATGCATTTTACTCTGGCTAGCTTTTCTGAGACCCCTACACACTTCTGCTCTCATGACTATGGGGATGAAAACGTACAAACTGGTTACATTAACCTACTTTAGGCTGGGATTAATTAATCCCGAGAAACTCTCTGCAAATGTCTATCACTTATTCTTCCTGTCTGTAAAGGACACCAGGTAGGAGAGGGGAAGGCAACCTTCACTACACGTACGCTTATAAAGACCTAAAATGTATTCAGGTAGGTACAGTTAAAGGTGCAAAACCCACACTGCCTGGGATTACAATGCTTCCATTCTGCAAAAACAGCTGTTCTAAAGTCGGGCTGGAAAGTAAGAACTGACCAGAAAGCTAAAGGTAGGAATTCCTGTTACACTCATGATGGGAACATTGCAAATAAATACAGAAAACTGCTGTAAAATGTCAATTTTTCAGCATTCTTTGTTTACGTAATTACAGTGACAATTAACAGGCAGTGTAATTTGAAGCCTAAAGCAAGGCTAATTTATTTCTTAAAAACAATTCACTATTAGGTAGCTTATTTGACTGCAGTTTTGCAAGAAGCCTGGGGAACTTCTTACAGAGATGCCATTTAAACTTCTAGGCAGCAAAGAAAAAGCCTGTTTTCCTGTGACAGCTGCAAGAACCCAGCTCAACCTCAGTTACCGAGGCGAAGAGCTCCTGA